GCAATCTCGACATCGATTTCGTTTTTTAGAGAACTCTATTTTTCCCGAGCTTCAAAAGATATTCAATGTGTTTTAGAAACCAAATTAATGTTAGGGTTTCTAACAGCCAAAAAGGAAGGCATATAAATAATTTTTAATAAAATACAAATATATATAATTAGATTAGAGACTACCTTCTTGTAGTCATCTAACCAAAAAAAAACTCATAAAATAAGAGATATTAATATACAAGAAACTACATGTTTATATTGGATCGATGTAAACCTAGCAATAATATATCAAATATCTCATATAAATAAGTACACCACAAAATTATTTATACGAAGCCCAATCCAAAATTATCTGTTTCTTTGCTAATGTCTTTGCCGTGAGTAAATGATTGGTTTTCTGAATCTCAAGTCTCTGTCTAAAGACTGGTAATGTTTTAATTTGTGGGTTATTTTTGTCTAAAGACTGAAACAACACATCGAACATGATCCATGTCTAGAGATTTCCAAGCCGTGGGTACCAAGAAGGATCAATGTTCGAATCACTCTCAGTCTAAAGACAACGTTTAAAGTCATGGGTACCATTATCCTTCAACCAAACATGACCCAATCCGATCTTTTGTCTTAAGGATTGGTTTTTTCGAATCTCAAGTCTCTATCTAAAGACATATGATGTTTTAAGCCGTGGGTACCATTTTCCTTCCACCAAAACATAAGCCAATCCGATCTTTTGTCTTAAGGATTGGTTTTTTCGAATCTCAAGTCTCTATCTAAAGACATATGATGTTTTAAGCCGTGGGTACCATTTTCCTTCCACCAAAACATAAGCCAATCCGATCTTTTGTCTTAAGGATTGGTTTTTTTGAATCTCAAGTCTCTATCTAAAGACATATGATGTTTTAAGCCGTGGGTACCATTTTCCTTCCACCAAAACATAAGCCAATCCAATCTTTTCTCTTAAGGATTGTTTTTTTTCCGAATCTCAAGTCTTTGTCTAAAGACTTATGGTGTTTAAAGCCGTGGGTAACTGTTTCTTTGTCTAAAAACTGAAAAACCAAACCGAACATGATCAATGTCTAGAGATTTTCAAGTCGTGGGGACTAATGTTTTGAGCCGTGGATACCATTTTCCTTCTACCAAACATAAGCCAATCTCAGTCTCTGGTCTAAAGACTGGTGATGTTTAAGCCGTGGGTACTGTTTCGTTGTCTAAAGACTGAAAGAACAAAACGAACATGATCCATGTCTAGAGATTTTCAAGCCGTGGGTACCATGAAGGATCAATGTTCGAATCAGCCTCAGTCTAAAGACTAATGTTAGAAGCCGTGGGTACCATTTTCCTTCCACCAAACATAACCCAATCCAATCTTTTGTCTAAAGAATTGGTTTTTCCGAATCTCGGTCTCTGTCTAAAGACCGATGATGTTTTAAGCAATGGGTAACTTGATCTTTGACCAGTAAACTGAAACCAATCCCAAGTACATATGTCGAAATAATAAGCCGTGGATAAAGGATCGGTTTTCAGTCTCAAGTCAAAATTTCCCATAAGCCATGGGTCCAAACTCGACGGGACAATGTGCCAAAGAAAGATTCTAACAAAACACTAATAATTGAGTGTCTGCCTATGATCTCTCTTGGGTTCGAAAGAAAAACAAAATAAGAAAGAAATCAAACAAAACAGAAAAACACAAGCAATAAACTACAACTGATCGCAACAATTTCATGCTTATCAAATTATGCAAAGCACTACAAAAACAAAAAAAAAATACGAATCAAACCCCCTTAAACAAAATCAATTAAAACCAAAAAAAAAAGAAGAAGAAAGAACTTGTAATTCACAGAAAAAAAAACTTTGAAACACGAATTGTTCGGTTGTGCAAATATCAAAGCCGCATAGAATAACTTACTCTGTTTCACGTGCATCTTAGTTGAAATTTAGATATTGCAAAAGATTTATCAAAATAATATCGAACAAAAACAATAGATTAGAATTGATTAAATAGCGTACCTTAACCATCGCATGGGAGGTCACAAACCGACACGGAGTTGGTGTCACCAGTGACGATACATCGTCGATGGATTGCTAAGAGTCAAGGAAACCTAATTGAAAGAGAGGAAGTTAATCGATATAAAACAAAAAAATTAGGGTTTCTTTATGTTTGTCCGCCGAGAAGAGTTTAATATATGCCGATTTTTAAACAATTGATTGTCCCATCTACGAAGCACCTCATCAAACACGTTATTACTTTGAATCCAAAATAAAATAAAATATAAAAACATAAAAAGCAGAGATCAAAACATGAGCATGACTACTAATTATACTTGGAAAAAAAAACTTATCTCCTCATTCATTGAATTTCGGTATTTCTATCACCCATACGTGGTGGATTTCTTCTCACACACATCACGAACTCCCATGATTCAGGATCAAAACTCCCATGCCCAGTAAACCTAAAACAAATTACAAAATAATTAATCACGAAATCATTAGCAAGCGTGAGATATAGTACAAAAACTAAAAACCTAGGGTAACGAATGTGAATGCTAATGTTATGACCAAGACTCTATATTTATAGTTGAAAATCTAGGGTTTACCATCATAATTATCTACAAAATTTTACTTTTAAAAAATAGAAATATTCTCGAAACAAATATTCGCAATATAATATACAAATTCATTAAAGCTAAATTTAACTTTTTTAATTAGAAACTAAATCAGAAAACTAACAAAAACGAATATTAACTACTAAGATATAGAATTATCCAAAAAATTAACAAATAAATTTAAGCTAAGATTCCATAATCCTTAAAGTCGAGACATTATGACATTCGTATCCCCAACGATTACACTATATTAAAAAAAAAATTAAGGGTAATTAAGACTAATCATCTCAAAACACGATTAGACTTATACACCCCTAACAATTAAGAACAAAAAATTTCGAAATCGAGGGTGTTTAGGACATTAGTATAGAGATCAACACACGATTAGACTTATATACCCCTAATTACGAAGAAGAAGAAATTTCGAGAAGAACAATTCATTAAGGGTGTTTAGGACAAATCATTCCAACTTTTAACCACAGGCCTCCAATGCCCTAACTTTCAATATGGTGCGTTTCTACTTCTCAAATAATTATTGTAGAGATTACTAAGTCACTATATGGCTCCGATCGAGCAATTCCCATAAACTGATAAACATGGTTGAATCCTCTGTATATTCCTTAAGTAAGTTTCAAAGATCAATTAATAATTTAATATTGAAGTTTTGTGTCAATAATTCCAACAGAAATTTATGTATGAGTCATGAACTTTTTACTTAAGTATCTTACGAATTTGACTTCGGCTCCGATTGGTAACATTGCATCGCATAATAATATAAGTTACATAATAAAATTAGCAGAATTAAAACTTGCAGAATAAAATTACTTAAAAAAATATGTTGATTGGATATATTTTGCGTAATGACAGAAAATTTATTTCACCAATACTTACTTATATTTAATAAATAAAATAATTTATTTAAGTAATATTTGATAAGAAAAATTGTTAAAATTAAAAATTGTTAAAACATTGTGAAATTTTTAAATATTATTCGAAAATAGTATAAGTTTCATAGTAAAAAATTATTTTCTTCCATTTTTAGTTACTAATATTTTGTGTGGCTAAAATAATAATAAAAATATTACCCAAATAAACAATTATATACACACTTATTTGCATAATGAGATTTTACTTATGTTTTTAGGTGAAAACGTAAATCGTATGTTTTTGTGTTTTCTAATTGGATGATAAAAAAAATTTTGATTGGCAAAATTTTTGTATAATCACAATGAAAATATAATTCCGCCATTTTGCGGTTCCCAATTATAGCCAATATATGGAAAGAATATTCAAATTTCTTCTCCCAATAAAAGAGAAAGAAAAATATAGTATAATGTAATAATTCATTGATAAACTGAGAGATGGCATGGGGAACATGGTTATTTATCTGTCACATTGTAATTTTAAGTTGATGATCAATTCGAGAGTTGAACTTTCTTTCTTTTTCGAAAACGAATGAGAAAAAGAGAGTAACTATTGTCTGCATGCAAGGCATGCGAAATGCTTCATTTTCCAAAAAAGAGAGAGAGGTAAATTTGTGTCTCTACGTGTCGCTCATGCGTTCCATTGTCATTAATTCATTATGCCTCTGAATGTGGAATTATCCCAAAGTTTCAAGGATTATAATTAATGCCATATATTATTTCACACAAAAAATTGAGTTATTGAAGTTTGTGTATTAGTGTATATCGATGTGGGCTTAGTAGTAATCGCAAGAATATTCAAATTCCCTCTCCTAGAAAAAAGAAGAAGAGAAATACTAGTAGTCTCTGCGTGTCATGCAAAATAGATAGCTTTCGATTGTCATGCAAAATGCTACATTTTCCAATAAAGAGAGAGAGGGTGTGTGCGTGTCTCTAAAATTTGGATTCTTTTTTTTGTTAAAGTAAAATTTGGATTCTTTCACTGATATATAAATATAAGTGGATCATTAAGATATTTTCAAGGATTGATTAATGTTAACACCTGGTTAGTATATCAAACACTGACACACAAAACGAAAATATTAACATTTTGAAGTTTTGGATCGATAGATTCGATGAGAGACTTATTTTTGATCCATGTATGTAAACTGTCTTCTTTTTTTTTTTAGGGCGCATCATTACAATTATGTGATAACTTCAAATACAGAATATACTACTAATGGTATTTAGAGAAGAAAAAAAAAAGTTATAAGTTAATTTTCAGTTTTAGTGGATAACCATCTGCTGATTTGCACATTTGTTTATTTTTTACCGAAAAACTATCGACAATTTTGCAATAGAGAAAGAGGTCAAAGTTATGACATGTGTCACTCATGGGCAGTTTCTATTACTCACGCCGTAAAAAGGTGTTTTCATATCTGATTTGATGATAATTGTAATTCTTTAATGACAAGTTTATATATATGGGAAATTCTCGAAAATAGATCTGAATTTTTTCCATGTTAATGTTTTTAAATATATGGAGAATTCTCGAAATTCTAAAAATGAACTTAAAACCAGACGACGCTTTGCTTTAACATCAAAGCATAAAGAAACGTTTACTTTCTCAGCCTCAAGTTGTAAGACAGAAGCAAAAGTAAGAAGAGTCTGAGTAACTACAACGATTATTATCTGTTTACTTTCTCTATTGTTTTGCTATAGTAGTCTTTGCTATATAGTCCACTTACTACAACGATTATAACCAACACTTACTTCTCATCCTCAGGTTATAAGACTCAGACAAAGGGAAGAAGAATCAGTATGTGAGATTGGAAGTATCTATATCCATCATATATGCTAGAGATCTAATTCATCTTCTTCTTTACAGGTGACCACAGAAGCTGAACCAACACTTGCTTTCTCCTACTCAGGTTATAAGGCTGAAACAAAAGGAAGAAGAATTAGTATGTGAGTAACTATATCCATCATAATCTATTTTCTTCTCTTTCTATCCTAGAATCTTAACTAGTACCTTCATATGAGGCAACAGAAACACTTCATATACCAAGGGCGAGCATCCATTTCTACCCTCTCTGCCACCACATTCTCACAAATCGCCGGTGCCACAATCCCCTCTTGTCTTGCACGTCTTGGTTGTCTCTGCTGTTCATGAGGGATTGGAAGCTGCCTTGTCTTGTCAAAGGCCACATCATAATAGAGATGTACTAACACTTTAGTTTGAAAATCATCGCTGGCCAACCGGTACTCATGTTGTCTCCACCCCGTGGTAACTCCTTGGTTTGTAACAAAATCCACTGTTTCCTTATGCCCTAGAATCCTGTCTCTTCTTATTATCTTCTTGGTTTCCCTATACTTCCATCTTCCACCATTTCTGTTGTCTAGGACGGCTCTGTAAGGCCTATCCCTCATCAGCAAAGTCCTTGTAACATAATACCAGTAGTTATTGTCAGGGAAGTACTGATGGAGCGGAAGCTTCTAAGGATAGAACTAGAGATCTGTTGATTCCTCGGAATACCGGAAAATTAGAGTTTCTCGGATCTGTTGATTCCTCAGAATACCAGAAACGAAAGAACGTTAGGAATTCGTTGATTCTCCGCGAATACCGAATCCTACGTCTTCTTATAATCGTTGAGATCTCTCGAGATCTACCGAAAACAAAGATTAGAAAATACTCTTTTCTGAAAAGCTAAAAGCTCTTTAATTTTATTAATCAATCAACTGCATACAATTCTAGGCCTAAAAGCCTTATTTATAATAAATCTAAAAACCCTAGAATATTCATAAAACAATAAATAGAAATTATCTAAATAACTAAATAGAGATATTAGGAAATAATAAAGATATTTGGAATTATTCAAATATACGCTGCATCAGGTCTCGCCGGCCAAGAAAGATTCGCCCTCGAATCTTCATCAGGGTTTTCAGCAATGGAGATCTTCGAATATCTGTCTTTATCTCCAACTTTTGATTCTGCCCAAAATTTGCACGAACCATATCTGAACCGAATTTTGCACCACTTGTATGTTGCACGAAATTCGCACGAATATCTTCTTGTACGACATCTTCGTAGATGTCATAGATTGGATCACCATAGATCTCTCTATGGAGCGGAAGCTTCTAGTACTGATTAAATCGATGTTCTAGCTCTCCCGGTTCCTTTTCATAAATGTCTTTAGACTCAATTACGTTGTCTTGAATGATCTCTTCGTTTACATGGGGTCTCAGGAAATCATCGATCAGGTCAATATCTTTAACAGAGAATCGAACTCCTCTTGGAAGTGGAACTTGTCTTTCCATAGTTCAAGTCTGTAAAAACCAATGCAATCTTAAAAATCACACAATAACCTAACACCATGAAACCTCATCCTAAATCTATACTGATTTCAATCAATCTCATCCTAAATCTATACTGATTTCAATCAACCTCATCCTAAATCTAAAGCTTTCAAGTCTGAAAATCAAATGAAACCTTAAAATCGTCACCTAGAAAATCACACAATGACCTAAAATTTTGGAAGTTCCTCCGAGAATCGATGATCTGACGATTGACCGGAAGTTTAGATCTCTGCAGAAGTTATTCGGAAGTTTGGTGATTCTCTTGGTCCGATGTCGACGAAATTTTGGTATGATTCGTCGACGAAGAAGAAGAAGATGAAGATCGGCGACAACAACACCGGAGATTCTCTCTGTCCAGCGTGTCTAATGTCTATGGTAAGATTCCAACTTCGTACCGTACCAGATTAGTCCCGCATCACTAATTAGTGTTTTTGGGTCACATGTAAACCAAATGGGCTTTTATCTAACCAAACGGGCCTCTATCCAAACTATGGCCCTATTGTTTTTCTATCATATCCGCAATTCCGCATTCGATTAATACAAAACTATTGGGAACAAATAAGAAACGGAAATGAACTTCTTGTCTGTAATAATCATCAAAACTGATAGCCAAACATAGATTTACAATAAAGATTAAAGAAAGGCAACTATCAATTGCTGTGAATTGTTATGTGCAGTCGATAAACTCTATCTTGGTCTTATGTTCTTAACTAGGATTTCACACGGGGCAAATTTTTATTTTATTTTATATTTAGTGATAGTTTATTTGAAAAGTTTCAATTGTTAGCAAATTTAAATGATTATAGTATATTGTTTGTTTGTTTGTATGATAAAATAATTAGTTGGAGTGTTATAGACATGTTGTTTTGTTTGTCCTATTTGCATCTTTAGTATGTGAAATTTGATTATTGTAAAGTAGGAGTTGTGAAAGTAAAATGATGTTAATGTATATGTGAAATATGATTATTGTAAATTAGCAGTTTTGAAAGTAAAATGGTGTTAATATTGTATATGTATATTATTACATTATTAGATAAAAGAGTTCAATTATAATATAATGATGTTTGTATTCTTCATAGTAAAAAAAAAAACCCTGAAGGAATCAGCCCTTGTGGAAAGCCTTTCGATTTTTTCACTAAATTCTCAGTCTTCAAAAAAAAAAATCTCAGCTTCAATTATATCTTCCAAACACATCAACCGTTTAAACATCGCCACGAGGTTAAGGAAAAGAAACCACGTTCCCTCCCACTGAACCAACTCCAATATTATAGACTTTCAACTCAAACTAAACGAAAAATATCTCTAACTATTGATATTTTTTAAATTTATTTATGTTTCTTATTTTTATTTTTAGAATTTACTATGCATAAACATAAATAGAATTATTTTTTATCAACCCAAAATTAACTTTAGATTTTTTTCACTCTTTCAATTTGTTTTTTTTTTGTTATTTCCTTTGAGGTTTTATTTTTTAAAGATTTATTTTTGAATAATTATTGTTTTATTTTGTTTTTTTATGTTGCGTTTGGTCGATTAGTTGGGATATATGTAGTAAACGTATTAAACTTAACGGATGGATGATTTATTAATTTATTTAGGTAATATATATGTTTTAGAAGCTAATTCCTTAGTTTCATATAAGATTAAAAAAAAAACTTGATCTTGTATAATAAACCTCCTCGTCGATTGCATAAAGAGGCTTATTGAAATTTCTTCTAGATGCTTAGATTGAGAAGAGATAATAATCTGTGTACACATAATCTGTTATCTTTCACCGTCCTTCATAATCGATAACTGAAATTTTGTTTGATGTAAGAAATTCTTTGATCATTGTCTTGACAAGCCCGTGTTCGTTTGTCTTGCATTTGACCTCATATCAGTTCCCAAAAGCATACTTTGTCTCATCAACCTCGGGTTTCACGTACCTCAGGATGTTTTTGAGCTTGTCTTCAGATTGAAAACTTAGTGATTTTATTTTTGTACCTACACCATACCTCTGATAATATTAGTGGCAGAGGTAGGGTGTTAGTAGGGGGGTCAGAATGGAAAATGCAGAAAACAAAGATAAATCCACCGATATATGTTCTTTCTACTAACCTGAAGAAACATTAACATTGGTTCACATGAATTTAAATGAAAACTTTGCCTCTTCACAATAATTTGATGGAAAAATCAATATCTCAATCGTAGACATGCGAAATATTTGAAAACTTGGTCGTCTATTAGACCATAATAGCAAAGAGTGATAAAATTTGGTGCAGAAAAGTGATAACTAAAGAATGAGACATGGTCATGAATCATGATCTTCAGTAAATTCATACGAAAAATCAACAAAGATGGCATACATTTGTTTTGAAATGTGTGAAAGAGAGGACGATTAATATAACAAATTTGAAATATTTGATGCTTACTTAATTCATTCGCATCTTGCCAATCTATCCTCTTTTTTTCTTGGAGTTGTCTGTGATCCCTTCATCATGCTCCTTCAAAGCTAGCCTTGGAGATAATAAGTAAGAAACCTGATGTGACAGAGGAGGCGGTTTGACATTATAGCTTTAAAATGGTTTTGGTAGAGTAAAGCGATATTATCATAACCAAAGACAAATATATCCATATGAATTCACCGTCCTCTCTTTGCATTTGAAGTTTGGATCAACAATATATCGTTCTTATGAATAAGCTTAACACTCATATCCAATTATACCACTCACTGGATGATTTGCCTGGCTTCACCTCTCCTTGGATCCATGATTACTTCTCCACTGCCCCACTACCATACCGAACTCATATATTGGATTTTATACCTCTAAATGAGAATAAAAACATGATTCAACATATATATGATTCCTCAGAATCGCGTTTAAAACATAGATATAAACAATAATACCTGTGAAAAATCGAGGGTTTTTGGATCCTAAAACTGTGTATGGAACTACATATGAGATTTAAAATTGGAATCATATGTTCCACACAAGAACCCCAAAAGAAATCGAAACAGATGAAATTGTGGACTTATGTAAGACGATGTGTTGAGGTTAAATTTTAAAAGGGGTGTGATGAATGCAATGCATATACTGATATACGTTTCTTATACTGCGCAACCTTTTGTTTTTAAGGAATTATTTCGGGAAAGTTACTAGATTAACCCAAATTATGATTTTAATTACTAGAATGTCTCAAAAAATTTAGGAGTTAAATGAGTTATTTTCATGACCATAATACCATTTTTCTCTTTGTTAGAAATAAAAAAAAAGTCAAAAATACCTTTAAATATATTTAAAAAACGTGGTGAAAAAAAATTATTTGAAAAATCTGCTGGGTTAATTGTGACAGGTTTATTTACCATGACAGACTTATTTTTCTATGATAGATTTTTTGCGACAGATTTTTTTTCTCCTACAGACTTACTTAAAATAGGTTACGACAGATATTTAATTTGTAGCAGATTTTTTTCTCACGACAGACTTATTTTATGATGACACCACAGACTTTCGTAATTTTGACTGATTTATTAAAATGTGTGGCAGATTTATTGTTTTAGTGGCGTCAGACTTATATTTTTCGAGAAAAATCTGTCAAAGACACTTGCAATGTGAGATGGGATAGAATCAGAGGCTGAATCCTTGTCTTGTGCCCCTGCAGTGTGACTCTGAAGTCCGGGAATCAGAGTAGCAGGATCGAAACTGGGCAGGGAATCATCATCAGACATCAAGTGTTCCTCTTGGTCATTACCCTGATTTCCTCCATTGTTTCCTTCATCAGGATTGGCAGGATCAATGTCTTCAAAAGCCAAAGCACATTCTTTTGCGTCATGTTTGAGAGAACCACATTTGGTACAGAAATTCCTCAATCTCTCAAATCGGAATTTGACGATGGTGTTCTCATCAGCATTAAATTGGACATTCCTCTGGAACTGATAGAAATCATGAGCAAAGAGAATCTGTGAATGCTTTTCTATATTTCTCTTGTGTAAAGTTGTTACAAATGTAAGCTTATATACATCTAAGAGTAAACCAATATATACAATAAACCGTAATCTATTTAACTCAACCAAGATTAGTAAACCGGTCTATATACATACTCTAATAGCCCCCCTCAAGCTTGAGCTTCAAAAATGTTAAGGATGCCAAGCTTGTTGTTGTTTGCTTTGAATAGAGCTGGATACAAAGTTTTGGTCAGAATATCAGCTAACTGATTATCAGTTCTGACAAACATAGTCTTCAGAATTCCTGCTTCCATGCATTCTCTTACTTTGTGACAATCAAATTCAATGTGTTTTGTCTTTTCATGGAAAACAGAATTGCTGGCAATATGCAGAGCAGCTTCATTATCACAGTAAAGATAAGCTGGAGGGTGAAATGGAACCTTAAGAGCCGAAAGAAGGTATCCAAGCCAAATAATCTCCTTTGTAGCTACACTCATTGCACGATATTCAGCTTCTGCAGAACTCATAGAGACCACATCTTGCTTCTTAGAGCGCCAAGAAAGTAAAGAATTACCAAGAAAAATGGCAAAACCAGTAACACAGCGTCTAGAATCAGGACAAGTACCCCAATCAGAATCGGAGTATCCTCGCAGATCAAAGTTAGCATCAACACCATAGAAGAGTCCCTGACCAATAGTACCCTTCAAGTATCTTAAAACTTTATGAAGAGCCTGAAGATGAATATCATTGGGAGCAGATGAATATTGAGCTAGCTTTGAAACAGCAAAGGTAATATCAGGACGTGTGATACACAAGTATTGAAGACGACCAATAAGTCTTCTATATTGCTTAGTGTCAGCCAAAGGTGTACCAGTCTCTGTTGAAAGCTTCTGGTGAGGTTCCATAGGAATAGAGGATGGCTTGCAGTCAGAAAAACCAGTAGATTCTAGCAAGTCAAGAACATACTTCCTTTGACTTAAAGAAATACCTTGATCAGTTCTGGCAATCTCAATGCCAAGAAAGAATTTAGGAGGACCAAGATCTCTTAATTGGAAAGCAGAACTCAACTGCATTTTCAACTCACATACTGCTGCATCATGAGTACTAGCAATCAAAATGTCATCCACATACACAATAACCACCAGAAAATGACCATTAGCTTCCTTCACAAATAAAGTATGATCTCCATGACATTTAGCAAAACCAAAACCCACCAATGTACTGGAAAATTTTAAGAACCATTGGCGAGACGCCTGCTTAAGCCCATAAATGGATTTGTGTAATCGACATACTGCATTGGGAGAAGCTTCTACTCCCATTAGCTCATTGTAACCAGGGGTAATTTCATATACAGTTCCTCAGCAAGGTCACCATTAAGAAATGCATTAGAAACGTCTAACTGATGTAAAGACCATTGCATCTTAGGTGCGAGGGAAAGAATAAGCTTCACTGTGGCCATCTTGGCAACAGGAGAAAATGTGTCAATAAAGTCTATTCCCTCTTGCTGAGTATACCCTTTGGCTACAAGCCGAGCCTTGTATCTTTCAATGCTTCCATCAGCATGAAATTTGATAGTGAATACCCATTTACAACCTACAACAGTCTTCCCTGAAGGTAAATCACAGATGCTCCAAGTTTCAGTTCTTATAAAAGCACCAATCTCCTTTCCCATAGCATCAAACCATTCCTTGACATGCTTAGCTTCTGAAAAACTTTTTGGTAATTTTGCTTTTGTAATGATATTAATGAAAGCACCAAAAGGCTCAGATAAGTATGAATAAGAAATATATTTTGCTAATGGATACGGGGAAGTTTTAATAGGTA